CTTTATATTTAAAGTAATAGCATACAAAATTGACAAAGAAAAAGTGAAATAGTAATAAGTGGTTCTCTTAAAAATATTCTTAGCAAAAGTTTAACTAGTTATGTTCCCACACTGTTGATAAGATATGCTACCAGATCAATCAGTGCTGTCTGCTAGTGCTGTCTTACTTAAAAGCTAACTGGCAGAGCATTAAATTGTTTGAAGTTGTGAATAATAAATAATTAGATGTTATTATTTATGCTCTCTGTCCCTTAAAAAAAGTATAAAAATGAGACAAAAACCTCAGTCACCAAACATCAAGTTGATCTAAGTCCTAAGAATAGAAAGTGATATGAAATGGGCAACTTTAGTGGGTCTGTTTATTGTCATTTCTGGTCAGTCTAAGAGAAGTGGATTGATGCCATTCTTTCTCTGCAATTCTCTTAGTATTTATTCAACAAAACTTTTTGTTGGCATTTCAGCTAGGTTTAAGCTAACTAAATCCTAAATAATCTATTGGCTTCTAGATGGCCATTGAGTGACAATAGAATATGTAAATAGGAAAATACTGGCTAGTATTTGTGTTTGCCTGATTGTTGGTAACTGGTGATATTGAACTGGGATGGGAATAATAAAGTAAAATGACCAATTTCTCATTCTACTATTAAAAACATCTGGGTTTCTGACTAAATAAATATTTAAGAAACACTTAGAAATCAATACATGATTCACGTACATAAACTGATTTGATTGGTTTTTTTTCTTAGACCAATCACAAATTCTTTTCTCCTCATTTAGTATGCCATGTAACTTAAGAGTTAATAGTGTTAATGTCTTATTTTGTCAATGTTTTTTAAACACTATTGCTGTAACAACTGCTTCTCATTAAATAAACTTTAAAAAGAATTTAATAGGGCATTCTGGTTTGCATTCTTCAGAATAATTGAACACAAACACATACATCCACAAATCTCCTGTTCCTTTCCATGGTGGAAACAGAAAATTGGATGTATCAGTCTGAAAGAATCTCTCCTCTAAAGTAAGCTCACTATAGTAACAGCTAAAGGCAACTTTGAGCAACTAAGGAACAATGCTTTGCAATTACAGTTCAGCACCTAAACTCTTTATAGTTTGTTTCCCCATCTGCTGTTTGCTTTCCATTCAATTAGCAAACAATATCTCCTTGTTCATACTGTGATTCCCACTCTTTTTCCTTTCCCAATTTTAATTCTACTCCAAAGGCTGTGGATAGGAAATCCTTTGGTCTCCCCCTCTCTCTTTCCCCCTCCCTTTCTTCAATTACCTCATACATGGGCTGGCAGTTTCTAAGTCTAGGCATGCATTTGTTTAAGAAACACACCCAAGTGTATATTAAAGCAAGTTCGACTGTTGCTGGTTAGTACAGTTCAGAATGCAAATGAAAGGAAAAGGCACAGCAGCTAGAAAAACTCTCCTTTTCTGTTGCAGAAGGAAATTGTTTAGATAGATAGGTCTTTCGTTAAGCTAAAAGTGAGGGATATGTATTTGGTTATAAACAGAACAAAACAAAACAAAGTAGAACTGTGCTAGCCAACTGTATTGGCACCAGCAGGAGGAAATATAAAGGAAAAGCCTCTGAAGTTTTATTCGGTTTCAGAAAAAAGAGTCATCAGAAGGTTAGTATCTGTCCATTTTCTTTGCAGTCAATATGTATGCATTTTTCCATATTGGATAAGGATGAGATTGTTGTCACTAATATACACATGGTTTAGAATTTATTGTACTCCGTTGATTTTTATGATACTCTATTATAAAAATAATCAAAATACTATTACTATTAGTTGTATGCTGAGGGAAGGTGTGGGTGAGGATTCACTCCCCAAACATAATTAGGGAAAAAAACACTCTTATAAAGCTTCCATGGTGAAACTGTTTTTAATTTTTTTGTATTAGTTTAATATTTTAAACTATATTTTTTCCTAAAAAAGGAAAATAAAGCTAGTAAGTCAGTAACTCTCAGACTATCTCAGGCATATCAATTAATAGCATGAAAATCTGTAATTTAAATCTTCATTTAACTTTGTTCTATTCATGTACTAATATGGAGCCCCACATTTTTGATCACAATTATTCCATTTGTACTTGGAATAAACATGTATCCATTGTGCATAGTGCATTTAAATAATTTCAAGGTTTAGTTATTTCTTTGCTTCCATAGGAACTCAAAAATAGCTAAATTATCTTGCAAAAGAAAAAAGTTAACCCAATAAAATGTATTGATTTTCTTGGCTCAAAGTTAAAGCCCATGATTACTGAATACAATAATTGTACCTAATAAAGAACAACACAAATACTGGAGTTTTCTTTGGCACAAAACCATTACCTTCTATGTTAGACTGATATATATTGCTTATACATGCTTAGTTTTAAAAGCATTTTTGCTATCTTTCAGAGAGTACCATGTAATGTTAGACTAATATATGCACTAAACAGTTATTCTCGAGTTCTAATTAAAATAGTTTGTTAAGCAAAAAGCAACTAAGTTCAGGATCTTATTGGAACATTTAGCTGTGGAATCTAAGTTGCTGGAATCTATGGCAGTCTTCTGCAACCTAGTGCTCTTTGGATTTTTTAAAAATTGCATCTTTTGTCAGACCCAGCCAAGATAGAAAACAACCAAATTGGAAGGTGGCAAAGTATCAGTGGACAACAGTTGAAGCAGCTGGTGTAGAAACACTGATATTCATGTATTGCAGTTACAACTATAGGTAAGAACCAAAGCAATAGTATTTCATTTTCACAATGAAAGTTATCAAAAATAATTTCAGAGCTTTAACCCGGGCTTTAATTTTATCAGTTTTTAACTGACTACACTACAGTATTAGATTGTTCCTCTGTACAATATAAAAATTTATTTATTTTGCTATTATGTAATTTTTAAAAAAATGACATTTTTATAAATAAATCTGATATAATACAGGTAGTGGAACAAATATTTTAGCAAATAGTTAATATTGCCCTTTTCAAACTATTAGTATGTAGTTGTAATAGAAGTTTACCTATTATGCTTCAGAAATTGGATCTATTAATCTGATAAGACAATGTAAGTATTGTGCACTTCAGAATGGAAAATAGAACACTTATGTTTGCACTTATGTTCTTACTGCTGACTAGCTGCCACTAAGTAGAAAATAATTCCATGTATTTCAGTAGATTGTAGAACTCAATGGCAAAAATTATTATTTAAGTATTCTGGATTTTCCATATATTTTTTCATGTATTTTCTGAAAAGCATGATTCTGCAAACAAACATGTCTATAGAGCTAGGATCAAAGTATTCTAGAATGTTGCTATTTTGCCTAAATTAGCTTAAAAACCCCGCAAATACAGTGTACCTATAAAAAGTAACAACTCCACAACAAATTCTTCATACTGCAAGAATGGTATTCAGTTAAAAATATAGTATTCAGGAGAAAGTATTTGAAGTAGTAATCTGTCTTTAGCTTTATTATAAGTCAGAAAGCGAACTGTAGAAGATTAATTAAAATTAAATCAAAGTTCTGATATTAAAAGAAAAATATTTACCATTCAGTGAATCAAGTTTCAGATATAAAAATTCCCAATGACTAAAATAGCAGAATTTGACTAAATGGAATGTATAGTAAGTTATTTCAACAGAATTAACACAATATAAGACATAAATATCATTGGGTACTACTATCAGTTCACAGCAATTTTGTAGTTACAGTACAAATTTTCAATCTATAATTTATTCATATTATATGTGATTGTTTTCAAGACAGTCAAGAGATGCACCATTTTTAATGCTATATAAAAATAAGAAACGTACCTATGAAATCAAATTGAGTGTGTTCACCCTTTTGTTTAACATCTTATCCACACCTAAGGTTCTTATATTTCCAAAGAAAATCAAATAACACATAGCTTTTTGTGCTGAAGTTGAAATGTGTTAATATGTCTTTCATATTTGACACAATGGACTCAATTAATGTAGATTATCAATAATGTGGAATATTATGTTAAGGTTCCCTTGCAAACAGATGTGTATCACTCCTTTCCATATCCAATTATTTTAATCATACAAAACCTGAACGCTAAGACAGACTATACGCATTAACTCACTGACCCTTTTAATGTACAGAACATGTTTGCATTTTTTGCATATGAATTAAATATTTGGAAAAGCAAACTATTCAAGATGAATATTTACTCTGCATTTGCAGAAAAATATAATTTTATCGCTTTTAGTACATTATTCCATGCAAAACTAAACTGTCACTCACAAATAATATTCAGCTGTAATAATGTTTCTTATTTAGCCATTTATCCCCCTCTCCCAACAATGCAGCCCAGATGTTTAAACCAGGCACTTCTAAGCAGAATTAATAATTACAATAAGGAGGAGATAAAGCAGATATTTCTGTGAAGAAAGTTCAAAAATAATTTTATGGCATCAAAAAAGTTTTTCCTCATTTTTAGAGTTAGGCTCACATGAAATGCGGCTTCATATGAACCTGAAACAATTGTTTCTGAAACGAATAGCTTTTAAAAAAATAAATACAAGCCAATAAACAATAAACTACAGCCACAGGATTTGAATTGGTCAGTGCAGTTGTTTCAGTTGCATAATCTTATCCCTGGTTCCAGAAACCTTCACTATTATTTGATATGAATAAAAATTTCTATTTTCACATGAAGTACATTATAATAACATAATTCATATGTAATGAATCTATGGCACAAATAATTCTTCCAAAGTCTGCTAGAAAGAGAAATACATGAAGCTTAGGTGGCCAGAGTCTTAATGGATACTAAAGACAAGGGTACAATCATTGACATTAGTGGGCCATTATCGTGGTTCACAATAATGGAATAAGAAAGCAGCAGCCTAGGACAATCTCAGATAATTATATAATTTAAATAAATTCAATGCTCCAGGGTAGGTGAGTTATATTCCAAGGTATTAACACCCCCCCCCCCCCCCCCCACAGCAAAACCAATTGAAAAAATGCTAGACAGATAGTCCTTGATTTATGATTGGCAGTTTAATGACCACAGACACAACAGGCATAAAACAACACACTGTCCTCCCCCTATGGTGATGCATTTCAGGTACTTGGCAATCTGTTCATATTTATGACTGAATGCCAAATACCCTGTGATTATATGATTGCCATTTGCAATCTTATCTGCTGGTTTTCCCAGAATGTCAACAGGAAAAGTTGCAAACAGAGGGATGGAAGATTTGAAGTCCATTCCACAGGGATTTCCCTGCGGGATTTCCCCTTCCATCTGTACAAATCTGGAGCTCAAAAACACTTGCAAAATCAGCATTCTGAAAGGCCCTTACACTCATTATTTCCAAAGTGGAGGAAAAAATGCTAACAAATACCATCATTCTCACAATGGTTCAGAAGACCCTTCTCCATACAATTTGAAAATGAGCCTTCTGAACCATAATGAGAATGGGGCCTACATGCAGGACAGAGCAAGTTGACTGTAAGGTAAGTAGACCCAAGTATATTGGGGCTGGGAAAAGGTCTGTGTGCTGGTAGGCCTAGCCAGCTGACACCTCCCAAACCCATGGCAAGTTACTATGTGCCAGTGGGCTCTGGACCTCCTAGGGGTTCCATATACCCTGGGCATGGCAACAACAGGGAGAGCTTGGATTGCAGTTGCTCAGTGAATCGGTCAAAAGGGCTTAACGATTGCAGCAACTTATGATGAAAATAGTGGGTTCAACTGTCATATGTTGAGGGCTATTTGATTTGGGAATGCTTGATAAATTGATGAGAAAATGAGGAATTGTCACACTATAGATGAAAAAGTGAAGATTTAAAAAGCTCTAGACAACTTGAATAGTGGGCCAAATAAACAAGATAAAATTTAATGAGGAAAAATCCGAAGTCCTGCATTTGGGGAGAAAGATACACCTAGATGTCAGGAGAAACCTGTCTTGGCCATACTAGATATAAAAAGAATCTGGGTGTTGCAGATGTCAAACCAACATGGTGATATAGCTGCTGAAAATGCAAATGTTCTTTTGGTATATAATAAGAGGATGGAATACACCTGAAATACTATATTCATTTATGAGCATCATATTCTAAAAAAAGACACCAACAAATTAAGCTCAGTCTTCAGAAGACAGTTACCAAGATGGTGAGGAGTAAACAAACCCTATGAGAAATCATCAAAGGAAGTGAATATATTTAGCCTGTAGAAAAAAAAGCTGATACTATTGAGTCTTCAAATATCTATAAATTATCATATAGGGGAGGAAATTTACATACCTTGGTTACCCTATTTCTCTGGTCAACAGGATCAGAATCAATGGATTGAAATTGCAGGGGAAGTAGGTATACATTAAGTATTAAGAGGAATGTTCCAACATATTCCTCTGCATTGGAGATCTTCAAGCAACAGGTATCACAAAATGCTTTAACAGATCCTTACCACTGGATTAGCTGACCTCTGAACTTGTTTTTAATGCTATGGTTTTGATTAGTAAACCAATCCATTTATCACTCCCTAAGGACAAACCAAAATTTATCCCTTCTATGTCTGATTCTCAGAGACATGTTTCTGCTGTTTACTTGGCAAAATTATTCACAAGTGGCTTGAGATAAAGTGACTAGCCCAAGTCATTCAGATGGCTTTGTACCTCAGGTGGAACTAGAATTTGTCTCTCCTGCTTTCTAGTCTGATGCTATTTGGTTGCAGGATGACTCCAGTGAACTGAATATAGATATCTGCTTTTCACACATTTTCTTTGCTGTGGTTAGCATTACTGATAATATCAGTACAAGAAAATATACTGTGATTGTGCATGTTCTCTTCCCTTCTCCAATATTGTTAAAGCTTGGGACATCTAAAGGTATGCATATATTGCGTAAATATGCATAATACAGCTGCTCCACAAGACCTGATTCTCTCTTGGACTAAAATAGCAAGGGCAACAATAAATAGTAACATTTAACTCTTGTCTTTTCTCATGTAAGAGTGATAGGGAGACCTCTGAGGCTGAAAAAAAGACCAACACTATCTATAGCAAAAAGGAAGGATGAAATGGCGTAAGAGAGAAAGGAATTACTGTAATTATGGCAAAATGGTTTTTTTCCTTGCTAAAATATTAGTTTTATACATCAGTATAGGATAATGTTAGGGGTAGGGTGATGAGTATACCCTTACATTGGGTAAACAGTTAAAATACAACTGAATAGTAGCAAGAATTTTACTTATGCTGATAAAGATGGAACATTTCATTTAATGTTGTTTGAAGGCTATTTCAAACAACAGCACTTTCACTGGAAGGCAAATCTTCAGTATATCTTAAAAGGGAGCTAAATTATATCTTGCGTAAGTTCAAATGCAAACAAGGAATGTTTATTTGGCATTACTTTCTGTATACAGGAAAAAAAAACCTTCCAAGAGCACAGTCTATTTGCAGTGAAATATTACCATTTGAAATGTTCATCTGAAGTAGGCAAAATAATATTTAATACTGTTTGAAACTATTTTTATAGTAAAAAAAACCATAATCATTGCCAGATAAAAACAAATTGAGGAATTTGAATAATTTAAGATGTAGAATAATTTAGTTTAGTTTACTTTGTCATTGCACCTCGTACAACAAAATTAAATAGACTACATGACAGAATCTAATCTAACTGAAATATCTGAGGTTAATAATTTTAACGATATAAATATAACATAATTTTTACAAGATAGTCTGGTATTCATTTTTAAAAATGCATTGCCCTTTAAATATATAATGTACAATATAAAAGATCAATTATTTGAATTCAAATAGCTATCTAGATGAAAATAATTTCAAAAAAGTTACTATACAAATACCTATCTATCTCCATATTCCTAAGCTCTTCAAATATGCAGCCTGTGGTATAGTAACCATTTTATATGCACAGCAGTAGTAAAGTTCCTGTACCAAATTAGGCAGGAATTAGTGAAATGTTTTCTCACTGAATTACCTATTGTGTTTGTTCATGTCACTCAGAGTTTTCACACTATAATATAGAATTACTTCATGCTAATGAGACACAAGTAGAAGAATAGATAGAGGAGGGAGCTTTTTTATAACCTGAACATATTCATGCTTGGTCTTTAATATGGGAACTAAACATTGTTTGCAAGGCTACATTTTGTCATTCAAGATGAGTATTGCAAAATGTAAGATGATAAATCAACACAGAGTTGTTAGCTCAACCTCTATGTTATCCAGTATTAGTAACTGTATGCATTATATCTTGATACCATACTATGGCACTCAATTTATCCAACTGTTGTGACTTTAATTGATTTCTCATACTAAGATATTAAATGTTTCTGCTTTCCATGCTTCTGCTAGTAATTATAACATATAACATAGTGAATAGGGGAGAATTAAAACCTGAATGACTGGCAAAACCCTTAATTTATCATTTTTTACATGGATTATTTTTATACTGCTGCAGTCTTGGCAATACCTAAAATTCCCCTTGTATCAGCCCATCCTATCTGGACAGGTAGGGAAGGCATGTCTTGGACCTTGTCAGTTAAAGAGTTATGACTGTGACTGGCAAGGTCCTGAATTCAGCATTTTTTTTCCTGCTATTGCCCCCGCCCTTTGGAACATTCTCCTCTGAGAGGGGAGACAGGCTCCCACTGTCGAAAATATCTAAAGACCTGACTCTGATCTCTTGCATGGGGCTCACAAAGGGCCATGCAGCTGTGAGGCAAATTAGCACCCTTTGCCATTTAATTAACTTCTTAATGATGAATTTTATTTATCCTTGCTTCTTTATTTGATTTTTACACACAGTTTTTGATTTTAGTATTTTATTTCTACACCACTCAGAGTCCCTCTGCAAGGGAGATGGGCAGTTTCTAAATTTGATAAATAAAAAAAATGTATTTTTCTCCATTTAGCTCACTTGAAAATGAAGACAGTCCCATGGATTTTGAGTTTCTTAATAATGCTATTATCAAATGGATATTATACAGTAGAGACACTTAAAAAATCCTTTCCTAAACGAAATCCACGTTCTACAGAAGAGGGTGAGGAAGGGAAAAAGTGTGGCTACACATTTATTGTTCCGGAACAAAAAATAACTGGACCAATTTGTGTCAACACTAAAGGCTCAAGTCCAGGAAACAAAAAAGATGAAATTACTAGGATGGATATTGAGAATTTGAAAGAAGTACTATTCAAGCAAAAGCGAGACATTGATCTCTTGCAATTAGTGGTGGATGTGGATGGAAATATAGTAAATGAAGTAAAATTGCTGAGAAAAGAGAGTCGTAACATGAATTCACGTGTTACTCAACTGTATATGCAGCTCTTGCATGAGATAATTCGCAAACGAGACAATTCACTAGAGCTTTCCCAGCTGGAAAACAAAATCCTCAATGTTACAACTGAAATGTTGAAGATGACATCAAGGTACAGAGAGCTTGAAATAAAATATGCAGCGCTAACTGACCTTGTAAATAATCAATCGGTCATCATCACACTTTTGGAAGAACAATGTCTGCGAATATTCTCACGGCAGGATGCACATGGTTCACCACCATTAGTTCCAGTGGTGCCTCATCATATTCCTAACAATCCACTTTACAACCCTACGCTGCTAGGAAGTAATGAAATTCAGAGGGATCCAGGTTATCCTAGAGAGAGAGATGTAAGGCCACCACCTGATCCAGCTACTTCTCCTACAAAAAGTCCTTTTAAGATTCCACCATTAACTTTAATAAATGAAGGTAAGCCTTTTCTTTTTAATTTGAACATTTCTAACAGATAAATGCATTTGAAACCTTTGTAATTTTTAGCTAATATATCAAAACTTTTAAAAGCATCACCTATATGAAAACTATATAAGTAGCATTCTGAGCAATGAGTCTAGCATTTTTATAATGTTAAGGGAGACTAAGGAAGGGTCTCTCTCCTTTATTTCCTTAATCTTGTCTAGCAATTTCAAGCAGTTACTATTTTGCTGCTCTTAGGCGGTATTATTAGCCAATTTGGGCTGTAAACATCTAACAACAAGTAGATGGCAGCAAGTTTATATAGGTATATCATTTTACGGTCATCTAATAGTTCTCCGGACTTTTATCAGAACAGCCCTATCCCAGTCCAGTATTTAAGCATTTCCACAAAAAATAGAAGGATTGTGTTTGATATATTTATGTATGCAGGGAATGCCCCCTTGTGGATATAAGTTTTTATAACAATGGAATCTTTATTTTGGTATTATTCAGGCTGACATAAATAATATAGAAACTGTGAAAACAATTACAATGTAAAACATAAATCTAATACCTGTAAGGACAATAATTATAAAGCTAAAAAATGTAGTGGTAAAAGCTATTAAGACTTGTACAAATCAAACCCTTATACTATGCCTTCTAGAAAGTCAAAGTAGTTTTTACTTTATGCAGTAAGTTAAAGTAAATGTTAGCTTTATGTGGTTATTAACCTAGTAAGTAGTGGGAGAATAGGATACTGAGGATATATCTGGAAAAGGTTCAGGAGAGGTGGACAAGCACGTGGCACCAAATGAATACAAATGTTATGGGAAAAGATTTTCCTATACTGATTGAATCTTGGAAATACTGTATTGTTGGGGCCATGCCATGTTATTATGCTTTCAATCTATTTTTTTTATACAATAACAAAAACTAAATTTATTTTAAAAATTAAAGCCACAAATTTGATGAAAAAAACCTGAAATAGTAGCTTAAATCTTATCTACATCCTTCATTGCACTATTTACAACTTTGCTGTCAATGAAGTTATTTTTTTCTTGCATTACTTCCAAAGTGAATCTGTTATTTGTCACAGCTAGCCACTTCAAAAGAATTCAAAGAAGAATGAACAACAAACTATTCAAAATAAATAGCTGATATAAAGAATAATTAAGTAGAAGGCAAAATAAATAAAATGAAAAAAGTCAAATGAAATGCTAGATCTAAAAAACAAAGGAACACAACTAGTAGTCATTTAACTCCATGGTGTTTAGATTTACACAGTAAATATTAATGAATGAGGCTTCACAATACTGTATAAATTGTTCAGGCATAGCTGCCACTTCTGTGGGCATAAACCCTACAGAGTTTCAGCATACAGAACTTGGTTAACCAATCATAAACAAGAGTCATGTTAATGAACAGGGCACACAATATAGATGTGCTGCTGTCTGAAAACACAAGTGTAGTGATTTTGGAGTGAGAAGAAACATGAAAGGATATACTAGGAGATAATGAAGGGTGTAGCAGTTATCAGCAATCTGCTGACATGCATCAGAGTAGGGCTGTCTTAACAGCATTATGGGCCCCAGGCAAAGCAGTGTACCTACAACACTACTCACAGGAATAAAAATGTACCATAAATGGTCGATAAAATTAAACATATATTTGCATGTTAGTATTAATTAAAAATGCAGTAAAATGTAATAAGTATGCTGCTATATTTATAGGATACAAGGTGCATTGAAGGGTTAACATACACCGATTAGTATGGGGCCCCTATGCTTGTGGGGCTCTGGGCAAGTGCCCATCAGCCCATGCATTAAGATAGCCCTGCATCAGAGGCAAAATACCAATAAAACTGTTTTTTGCCATCCTTCTTTGTAACTCTGTGTTAGTATACAGAGTATGTTATATAATTCACACATTCTTAGAGATGTTAATTAAAACTTTGTATTTCTTGACAAGCTGAAACAATTATAAAGCAGTAAGAGAAGGGTCTTCTTGATATTTAATATAACTAAATTTAATATTTAAATATAATTCAATTTGTTGCTGGAAGTTTTTTTAAAATAACGTGATTAGAAAGCTGCTCAGGAATATAAACACCATAAACCCAATAAACACAGTTACTTTTTTTCTATAACACTCTGAATTCATAACAAACCTCTTCAGAGTCCTAACAAAATTTTGCAATTCAGTTTGAGATCCTTTATAGGGTTATAGGATATGTTCGAGAGAAGGCTAGATAATCCTCTGTTTGGGATGGTTTAAATGGAATTTATGCACTGTACAGGAAAGTGGAATCAATAGTGCATATGACTCTAAACTCTAACATTTAATCTTAAATTTCTGGAGTAGATCAAATCCTTTGTCTTAGATTTTTTTTACATTTGAAGCCAAGAATATTAGTATATATACAATGCTATGCAACCCTATACTGAGTTTTCTATTTTCTCTATAAAGGAATCTTTGTTTTGCTTCGGCGTATTTCTTTGTTTCTCTAATTCTGTTCCACATTATCATAAACTAAAGAACCTTCAAATTCTTCTTCTAAATGTTCTTCTAATACTTTGTCTTCCAAAGAATTTTTTTTAAAGTTAGAAACCCCTAGACTAAGTTGCAGGAATATGCCTCATTTTTAAACTCTTACATCATTTCTGTAATGTTTCAACCCTACCCTCTGGATTTTAGAAATAAAGGAAGAACTTAGCTATCTTTCAACTATTTTTGGTTACATTTGTGAGTAGATCTGCCCCTACTCTCAATTCCTCTAAAGCTGTGGTCCCCAACCTTTTTTGTACCAGGGACCAGTTTCACGCAGAAACACTTTTTCAAGGACCGGGGGGGGGGGAGGAGTCCGAGTTTGGTGGTTTGCTTGCAGACGTTTCATTACCTGACTAGGTAACATCTGATGTTGTTACCTAGTCGGGTAATAAAACGTCTGCCAGCAAACCACCAAGTTCAGGGAACGCCAATGCCTCCTCATTGCAACCCTGAGCGACAGATATTCTCTTCTATTGGGACATTTAAAACGGAGGGTTTCAGCTGCAGATTCAGGAACTGCGCCGGGCTGAGGAGCGCCTTCAAAACTGAGCGCCAGGCGGCGGCCCACGGCTGTCTCCGCGGCTCAGGACAAGTCCCTGCAGGACGGCTGAGAAGCCCCGCCTCTCGGCCCTGCCTCCCTCAGCCTCATCCCTCAGGTGTCTGCCTCGTTCCTCTCTCAGTCGCTCTCTCGCTCCTCCACTAGCCCAGGAAGAAACTGCTTCAAAGAAGCCGGCAGGGTGGCTTTTCCTGTCAGCGCAGCTCCTCTGAAGCACCCGTTCACCCCCATCCCGCCGCCCGCGGTTCAATCCAGTGCTCCGTTCTGCCTGCCTGCCTTCGTTTCTGGTTGTTTCGGAGCAGCTTCGGCTGAGAAAAAGAGGCGAATAGTTATTATTCTCAGTCGAAGCTGCTCCGAAACAACCAGAAACGAAGGCAGGCAGGCAGGCAGAACGGAGCACTGGATTGAACCTGGATTGATTGGCGGCGGGGTGGGGGTGAACGGGCGCTTCGGGGGAGCTGCGCCGACAAGAAAAGCCACCCTGCCGGCTTCTTTGAAGCAGTTTCTTCCTGGGCTGGTGGAGGAGCGAGAGAGCGACTGAGAGAGGAACGAGGCGGGAGGAAACCGAAGCCACTGAGCTGGAGGAACAGGACAGGCTTTGGTTGCTTCCTCCCTCCCCTTCTTTCATTTGTGTCCTTGATCCCTGATCCCAGCAGCATTCACCGAAGGCGAAGAAAGCCGCCATTTTTATTTTCTTTGCGGCCCGATGCAAAGTGATCCACGGACTGGTACCGGTCCGCGGCCCGGTGGTTGGGGACCCCTGCTCTAAAGAAAGCTTTTCCATAGTACAGGAGACTGAATAGAATTATCTTCAAGTTACAGATACAGATAATCAGAGTTGGAAGGAACCTTGTAGGTCATCTAGTCCAACCCCCTGCCCAAGCGGGAGACCCTACACCATTGCTGACAAATGGCAGTCCAATCTCTTCTTGAAAGTCTCAACTGATGGCACTCCCACAACTTCCGAGAGCAAGCTGTTCCATTGGTTGACTGTTCTCACTGTCAGAAAGTTTCTCCTTATTTCCAGGTTAAATCTCTCCTTGTTTTGTTTCCATCCATTATTCCTTGTCTGGCCTACAGGAGGTTTAGAAAATAGCTTGACTCCTTCCTCCCTGTGGCAGCCCCTCAGATATTGGAAGACCGCTATCATGTCTCCCCTGGTCCTTCTCTTTACTAGACTAGCCAAGCCCAGTTCCTGCAACCGTTCGTTGTATGTTTTAGCCTCATCCCCTAATCATCCTGGTTACTCTTCTCTGTACTTTTTCTAGAGTCTCAACATCTTTTTTATAATGTGATGACCAAAACTGGATGCAGTACTCTAGGTGTGGTCTTACTAAGGCTTTATAGAGTAATGTTCATGAACTGAAAATTCAAATTCTTATTCCATAACTCTCCTCCTCTTATACATCTAAATCAGTATAGCCCATCAACTATTTGTATTGTATATTTTATTTTGTTCAAAACATTCTGTTTATTAGGGGCAGTTGTACAGCACTAAAGGCTGGTGTTTCAAGTGTATCTGTCAATGTTTGCAACAACTGGAATGCTATGTACTGT